GCTTCATGGTTTCTCAAAATTTTGAGCCTTTGTGGGGGAGGTACCAGAAAGAGTGGACCGATATATCCCATGTCCACAGCAGATCTTGTGTTAGTAGAAATAATGGTTTTCGGATGCTTATTTCGGATTTTATGATCATTTTGGTTATTCAAAACTTCGACCCTTTGTGGGGGAGGTACATTCTGTTCCGATCTCGACCATCTTTAAAACAGACATCCAATTCCAAGTCTGAATGGAATTGAATGTCGATTTCGCGTTTTATGTGCTTCATGGATATTCAAAATTTTGACCCTTTTGTGGGGGAGGTACCAGAAGGAGTGAACCGATATATTCCATTTTCACACCAGATCACGCGTTAATAAAAATATTGTGTAGTGTGTAATTTGAAGAAAATCGGACTCTTATTTCACATTTTATTAGAATTAAAATTATTCCAAATAATTCCGATACTGTCCATTTTCGCACCTAACCTAGCACTGATGCAAATATTAGGAATTGTCAAATTTGGAACGAAATCGGATTATCCTTTCTCTTACTGTGCAGTAGTATATATATTTTTTTGAAAATTTTGATTTTTTGTGAGCGAGGTACCAAATGGAGTGGACCGATGTTGCCCATCTCTGAATACGATTTAAGTTTGACAATAAAAATATGATGTAGCAACTTTGAACCAAATTGGACAATCCCTTGGAGAGTTATCGCTAGATCGACACCAAATGTCCCGTAACGGATTTGGGCCAAAAAGACTTAGGGTCTAAAATCGTTATTTCAAGGAGGCATGTTTTGGCCGTATACACTTTGTAGCCATATGGCTGATCAATCAACTTATAATGAGTCATTCCAATAAAAGTTTTCGGAATTTGTACAAATAATTTTCCACAAATCTCAATTTTCACTAATTTTTTGAAGGCCCCTTAATGCCAAGGCCATGCCACTTAACTGCCGCCCGGGTTAATTCAAATTAATCTACCTGTGGAAATTATCTAATCCTCATTGTTTTATATCGGATGGTGCAAAAATAACATCAATCGTAATCTACTTCACTGGCATGTTTTACTCTTTTGCGCCATGTCCCGGAGTTGGTAAACAATGACAATTATAAATCGTAGTATTCTGAAGTACGAAACGTGTTGCCATTATTTGTTGTTGTTAAATTTGCGAAAGATAAGTTCAGAACACAAGGAAACAGAAGCTGAATGAGGCATGTTGAAAACGTTTATGAAGTTACCTGAATTTTTATTTAGCAAAGATTTATAGATGATCTTTGATCCAGAGACGCGTAGTGGGGAAACAAACAAGTACTAATATGTGGTGTATGCTTGAAGGCATGTACAAGGTGGCGCAGAAGTAAACTTCCGATGTTTCTGTTGGCCGTTATTAAAAAAAGAAATAAGCATGATACTCTACAACACTACAATATGTTCGAAGTCAACTTATGTCCAAATCCATTTTGGAAGATTTCGTTTTTAAAATAATGTCAAAGAGCCCTGCCCAGATGTTACCCTTAGGTTTTTGATCCGGGAAGTGTGGCCAATATTTACGCACTACGTCGTGTTGTTAGGTATTCAAAACAATTTCACACGAGAGTTGTGGTCCATTTTACAGACTTCTAGACTTCTTCCCTGTCCTTTACTCTCTGTAGATTGGTTTTGAATTGTAGCCTACAGAGCGACTACAAAATTAGAAAATTTAAAAATTTTGGTGTCCCTTTGAACCCCTAAATGTACATTTAGAACAATAGGCTTTAATTTTGAGCCTAACCCTACCCCCATGCAAAATTTCGTGAGGATCGGACGACAATTGCGACATGTACAGAGTGAGATGAAACAACTGCAAGCAACTTCACACTGCTGTTATTTCTAAGCCACTCGTCCGACAGCTGATAAAACGATTCCAGTGACAGATCATTATATTTTTTACAAGCGTACAAAAGCATTTTGGTGAGAATTTTCTGGAAAAAAGTTATTCGTGATGAAATTCGAGTGTGATTGTGTGACTTCTTTATATTTGGCTGGAAAACCACAAGTGGCTATCGTTAGAGCACTTCAGCATTAAAATGTGAATAAATCTTTTGTGCCTCGTACCATCGCTCGTTACCGTGATATTGATACTGGTAGCGTTGCCCGATGTCAAGGAAGTGGGCGGCAGAAAACAGCAACATCAGCAGAAATAGTTCGAAAAGTAAAGAAGCGACTTGATAGAAATCCACGTCGCAGTGGCAGAAAAATAGCTCGTGAGCTGAAAATATCGCAATATTCCATTCGGCAAATATTGAAAAATGAGCTCGGGATAAAGCCATTGAAATTCCAAAAAGTGCGCAACTGAAAGGAAATAGCCTCAAAAGAGCTAAAGAGTTGCTTCGCTTGGCCGAAAGTGGTGAATTGCCTAATTTGGTTCTCTCTCTCTCCGATGAGAAAACATTCGTTGTCCAGCATTTTGTAAACAAACAAAATGATCGTGTTTACTTGCCAAAGAGGTCAGCTGAAAATATGCGCCTTCGGCTGGCCACCAGAACTCAAGCGCAGGCCATAGTGATGGTGTGGGCCGCCATAACAGCCGAGTCGCTCATATTAATCGTCCGAGGCATCAGAATAAATTCCGAATATTATCGCGAAAATATTCTGGAGGTTGTATTAAAGCTTTGGGCACACAAACATTTTGTCCGCAGACCTTGGGTATTCCAATAGAACTCAGCTCCATCGCACTCAGCACGCGCCACCCAAGAATGGTTACAAAATGAGGTTCCTCGCTCCTTTTCCAGCGCAAAATGGCCACCAAAATCTCCGGATACCAATGCGTTGGACTTTTGTGTCTGTAGTATTTTGGAAAGCAAAGTTGGGCACTAAAAAATACCAACGTGTCGATCACCTCAAGCAAGCGCTGTGCCGGGAATGGGCAAAAATACCGCAGAGCAACATTCGGGCAGCGTGTGACAGTTTATTGGCCGTTTGAAGGCCATAATTCGTGCCAAAGGTGACCAATTCGAACAAATCTAAACTTATTCTAAAATTTGAAGCTATTTCCGACATTTTTGGCTTTCATTCAATAAAATTTAAAAAAAATGTAAAAATTATGGCTTTTGACTTTGTTGCAGTTTTTTATCTCACCCTGTATGGGGAGCAATATTCGTAAAATCGGACGAAGATGTATATCGAAGCTATATAAAAACCTGAACCGGTCTCGATAAAATTTTGCAGAGGTTTTTTCGAGCAATATCTGATGCCCGGTATAAAACATGATTGTTGTGGAGTGCATATTGCGCATGTGATTGACTTAAACACCACATCGGATGAAACATATATATCAGAACTAAAGCTGTATCTGAACCGATTTTCACCAAATTTGATGTGTAGACTGAATTCGGCCGGATGTGCCAAAATTCAGGTCATTTGGACTGATATTGGACATTTGGTGCACAATTAACCCGAAATCGGTTGGAGATATATCCAAATCTGAACGGACCTCGAAAACATTTGGCAGAGGTATTTCTGGGCTGTATCTGATATCAAACATCATTCTTTTGGGGTGCAAATTACGAATGTGGGAGGCTTAAACAACAAATCGGATGAAATCTATGTATGGCAGCTGTAGCTATATCTGACCGGATTTTCACCAAATTTGAAATACTTGCTTCTAAACTCAATTCGGTTGGATGTGACAAAATTCAGGTCATTTGGACTGATATTGGTCATTTGGTGCGTAATTAACTCGAAATCGGTTGATGATATATATGGGAGCTATATCCAAATCTGAACCGATCTTGATAAAATCTGGCAGAGGTATTTCTTCGCTGTATTTGATATCTGATATCAAACATCATTCTTTTGGGGTGCATATTACGAATGTGGGAGGCTTAAACACCAAATCGGATGAAATCTATATATGGGAGCTGTAGCTATATCTGAACGGATTTTCACCAAATTTGAAATACTTGCTTCTAAACTCAATTCGGTTGGATGTGCCAAAATTCAGGTCATTTGGACTGATATTGGTCATTTGGTACGTAATTAACTCGAAATCGGTTGATGATATATATGGGAGATATATGTAAATATGATCCGATTATCACCAATTTCAATAGGGTTCGTCCTTCGGCTAAGCAAATGTTGTTTGGAAAATTTCAACACAATTGGATAATAAATGCGATCTGCATTTTGTTCACAAGAATTCATGGACGGACTGACGGACGGACGGAAAGACGGACTGACATGCATAAATCAATTCAGAAAGTCATTCTATGAAGATCATCAAAAATACCTATGGGTCTATCTCGCTTTCTTCTCCATGTTACAAACAAATGCACGAAGACATAATACCCCTACCACTATGTGGTGTAGGGTATAAAAATGGACGTTACATATTAAATATATGTATGCCTATGTATATAAGTATATAAATTAAAATAACTTAATTTGATTAAATTCTATTACGATATATCAAAACTAAACAATATTCCACAATAATATATTCACAGAATGCACCCGACTATCGCAATTTTGTAGGTTTAAAAGTACGAGTTTTTTTTTTCTTATTTTACCCATGCCACTGTAAGGGGTTAGTAAACCAGCTTTGATACTTATTCCAAAATTAGTTAATCAACTCATTAAATGGTAATGAGATGTGTTGCTTGAGCGTTCAATGCGTCTTGGTACCGTTAAGGCAAACAACTCCATTAAACAATATATATTTACAGCCTGTTCCACGATATCGAAAGAACACGTTCGCACAACTTTTACACGACAAACAGCTGATTTCCGTTCCACTAAAATCCATCAGAACGAAAATTTGCACGAAAATCAAAGCGAACGAAAACGTAAGCGTTTCAGTGTAATTTTGCGTTCCACTATCTTTTTTCTTTCGTACGCATGCGAACACAAATGTCAAAAACCGTCACTTGTGTGTTTGCTGTCGAATGATAAAAATTAAGGAAAATTGTTTTAACATAAACATTCCTTGATTGAAAATTGAAAGAAAAATGTAAGTAAAAATAATAAATGCAATTTAATCTGTGAACAACAAATATATATTTTTTTATTTTCTCAATTCCAGCACGAAAAAACTACACAGCTGCGGGCACTAGTTGAGTATATGGAGGAGAATCCTAAGTTCGCCAGAGGAGTGCCAATTTTTGGAAGCAGCAGGCAATCCCTTGAAGACCACTGGAAGACACAAACCTAGAAAAATTCATTTTTTATTATTTCAAAAATGTAAAAATACAATCATACTTACTGGTTGTTAGGTACTTCAAATAAATTCGAAGCATCTCTTAAATGCCTCCGTGGCACATTTTGAACCTCCTCCTCATCATCCATAAAAAATAGGGCTACAGAAATATTCATTTTTTTTAATTTTTTAAGGACACAAATAGTTTGGACACAATCACTAGAAATTTTATTTTGTTTGTTTATTTACAATTTGTTTGTTTACAACTGAACTGTCAGTTGAGACAGAGCAACTGCTGCTTTTTCGCGTTTAAATTAGACATTTGGCGCTTTTTTTGCCTTATTTCGCGATTAATTTTTCCAAATAATATTTAGCAACACTGAATCACGATTTTCTGCCATTATCCACGGAATAATTTACTTGCATTCATAAAATGTATCTTTTCCGAAGGCACCCACCCACCTGTAGAGTATTGAAATTATTTTTTTTTTTCCTTTTTGAATTATTAAACAAAGAAATTAGTATTGGGTGAATAATATTCGAATCTCGGAATTATAAAATAATCGGAAAAACAATTTATTGCATCGTCTGACGATCGAACTACTGATAGTGTTCACGCTTTGGTGGTTCGCTCGCGAAATCGCACAGCTTATCGGTCAATAGTACAAAATGCAATAAAATTGAAACATCGCAACTAATTTGAAAACAACAAAACTTTGAAGATCGCCAATACACAAGTACAAATGATATCTGGCGGTTTGGCTGGGTAATTGAGTGAAACTTTATACCCGGCAAAATTATCGATCGAGTGGAATTTTTACATTAATGACTAATTTCAAAAAATAAATAAATAAAGTATTTGATTGCACCTAAACAAGTGAATAAGTATCAGTCGATTTTGCCGACAGATGTATACCCTCAGCCAATGTTCGATTATTTAAATATGTTTTGACTTCTATTATAATTGTTATCAAATGGTTGACCCTCTATGGAGTAGGTTCCGAAGGAATGGCCCAATATTGCCCATTTCGTATCGGACCTAAATAAATACGATATAAATATTGCGACGTGTCAGGTTTGGACTTTATTGGTTATAGCCTTCACTTTATATGAGATATGTGGTTATTTTTAGAAAATGTTTAAATGTGCGCTAGGTACCACATATAGTCCACCGAAGTATTCCATTTTCATACTTTAACTAATATAGATAAAAATATTGGTATGGGCAAAATTATAAAAAAATCGAACATTTATATCCAATTTTATGCGGAATCATAAATTCCATATTCGTCTCGGGTTTCTGGTTGAGAGAAATACAGGGTGAGATAGAAAACTGCAACAAAGTCAAACGCCATAATTTTTACATTTTTATACCCTCCACCATAGTACGCAAGGCGTATTATGTTTGTCATTCCGTTTGTAACACCTCGAAATATAGATTTTAGACCCCACAAATTATAAATTCTATGTCGATCTAGCAATGTCCGTCCGTCCACCCGTCGGTCCGTCTGTGGAAATCACTCTGGCTTCCGAACAAAATGAAGTAGATTGATAACATTTTACTCAAATGTATATTATGTCTGTAGGACTTTTGGTATTGAAAATGGGCCATGTAGGTGGTCTACGTTTTGGTATAGCCCTATATATGGGGGCGGTACCTCCGGTATTTTGATGATTTTAGCCACATTATTCACCGAAATTGTTTCAAATTTGGTATTTCAAGTTCGTAATGGATACTACAGCCTTAGACAGAAAATTATATGTGCAGGTCCACGTCTTCGTATAGCCCCCTTATAACAGTACCTCACTATATTCGGTATTTTGACGATTTTTGCTACATTTCTCACCGATTTTTTTTTAAGTTTCGCTTTTGAATAGTGTGATGGCTTACGGCAAAAGTTACCTGTGCAGGTCCATGTCATCGTATAGACCCTAAAATAACAGCTGCATTCGGTATTTTTAAGATTTTAACAGAATTTTTAACGGATTTTTTTGTTTTTGAGAATTGCAAAATTCGTTCCAATTAGTGGAGGGTATTCAAAGTTCGGCCCGGCTGAACTTACAGCTTTTTTCTTGTTTTTTTAATTTTGTTGAATGAAAGCAAAAAATGTCGGAAATAGCATCAAATTTAAGAATAAGTTTAGATTTGTTCGAATTTGTCACCTTTGGCACGAATTATGGTCTTCAAACGGCCAATGAAACCGTCACACGCTTCCCGAATGTTTCTCTGTCTGCGGTATTTTGGCCCATTCCCGGCGAAGCGCTTGCTTGAGATGATCGACACTTTGGTATTTTTTAGTGCCAACCTTGCTTTCCAAAATACTCCTGACACAATGGCCCAACAGATTGGTATCCGGAGATTTTGGTGGCCATTTTTCGCTGGAAATGAAGCAGGGAACCTCATTTTGTAAGGGTGCTGTACTGAGTGCGATGCTACTGAGTCCTGTTGGAATGTCCAAGGTCTGCGGCCAAAATGTTTGCGTGCCCAAGACTTTAATACATCCTCCAGAACATTTATGCGATAATATTCGACATTTATTCTGATGCCACGGTCGATTAATACGAGCAGAGAGCGACCACCGGCTGTTATGGCGGCCCGGCGCTTGAGCTCTGGTGGCCAACCGAAGGTGCACATTTTCAGCTGACCTCTTTGGCAAGTAAACACGATCATTCTTATCTTTTCTCATGGGAGAAAACTAAATTCGGCAGTTCACCACTTTCGGCCAAGCAAAGCAATTCTTTAGCTCTTTAGAGTCTATTTTCTTTCTGTTGCGGTGTAAGTTCTTTTTGTAATTTTAATGGCTTTACCCCGAGCTCATTTTTCAATATTTGCCGAATGGAATATTGCGATATGTTCAGCTCACGAGCCATTTTCCGGTCACTGCGACGCGTGTTTCGATCATGTCGTTTCCTTACTTTTCGAACGATTTCTGCTGATGTTGCTATTTTCTTCCGTCCACTTCCTTGACGTCGGGCTACGCTACCAGTCGATGCGGTAACGAGCGATGGTACGAGACACAAAAAATTTATTCACATTTAAATGCTGGAGTTTTCTAACGATATCCACTTGTGATTTTCCAGCCAAATATAAAGAAATGACACTATCACGCTTGAACTTCATCACGAATAACTTTGTGTTCTGGAAAATTCTCACCAAAATGCTATTGTACGCTTGTAAATAATATAATGAGCTGTCACTGGAATAATTTTAACAGCTGTCGGACGAGTGGCTTAGAAATGGCAGCAGTCGAAAATTGGTTTCAATTTTTTCATCTCAAGCTGTATATCCCATCTTCACACCAGACCTTGGGTTAATAAAAATATTGCGATGTGTGTAATTTGAAGATAATCGGACTCTTTCATCATATTTTATAAGAGTTATAATTATTCAAAATTTTGACCCTTTTGTACATTCTCTCACCTGACCCAGCACTGATGCAAATATTAGGTTTTGCAAAGTTGGAGTAAAATCAAATTATATTTTTTTTTTCTGTGCAGTAAAATATTTTTTCTGAAAATTTCAAACATTTGTGGGGGAGCTACCAGAAGCAGTGATCCGATATTGCCCATCTTCGAAATCGATGTAAGTTTGATAATAATATTACCATGTATGGGCCAAATCGGATACTCCCTTCGAGAGTTATCATGCGCACCAGCCAGACGGCCGGACGGGCATCGCTAGATCGATTCCAAATGTCCTGAAACGGATTTGGTCGAAAGAGACCTAGTTAGACCCTAGGTTATTTCTATAAGGCACGACTTGGGTGTATCAAATGATATAAACCCTCTCTAGCCATATGGCTGAGGATATAAAAATTGTATCAATGATCTATAGATAAGGAGATCTCTTTTTTAGGTCCTATAATTCAAAAGATCTTTTGCAGTTTTCTAAAGTTAGAAGGATAATTCGAAATATTTTCGGTTTTTATAATTCAAAAGACTTTTTGAAGGGTTCTATTGTTAGAAGGTTAATTCGATAAAAGTTTTGATAGTACTTAAAAATTTGCAAAATATCAATGATCTACATTTTTTAAGGTATCTAGGTGAATAATTAGGTCTTTTTCAAGAATCTTTTAATTCAAAGACCTTGTGCATAATGTTTTCTAAATGCTTTCTCTCAAAGGTTTTCAAAATGCCTCCTGTTTCAAAAACTAATGTGGTTTAGTAATTAAGTCATACTCATTTAACTGCACTTAAAACATATGAATTCAAAAAAAAAGTTAAAAATTTAAATAAAAGGCATTCCCATCCAGTTTGGCGCCCAACGTCGAATAATTTATTAAAGGGTTATTAACATACAATAAAAATACATATTTAAGCGCTACGGAACATACAAACTCATACTGTATTGTAATTCTCAAAATTATTAAAATAACTTTGAAGTGGCACAAATGATGTTTTTTTTTGCAAAAACGTGCAAATAATTTAATTTGTTGATAAAAATCTTCAAATTCTCAAAAACAACAATCAATTTATAATTATTGATTTAAATACTATTATTTTTGCAACACCATGTCATCCAATTCAAAAAACAAATTCGAACCTTTTTTTATCACACGAAATGTGATTTGTCATAATTTAGATGGAGACTTTGTGCCGATTTCCTCCTCTCGATTTGCATGCGGAACGTAAAAATTTTGTTTGTTTTTATGCATTTTTTTAAATGCAACTGTCGTTCCGTCATTTTTGTCTCGTTACACAGAGTAATTAAACAAAATATTGCTGAATCAATGCTGCCATTGTTAATCTCGAGAGGCTGACAAAACAGAAATTTTTGTATTCAAGATTTGATTTACTTTTTCAATTTTGTAAGGAAAAATAGGTATTTCAGAAGAGTCCATACCAAAGGTGGATAAATCCATTAATTTACTTGATGTAAATGAAGCTTTTCTTCAGTTGATGCGGAAATTCTAGATTTAACGTCGAATTCATTATTTATTATATCTGCCACCATCAGTACCTTCTCCATTACCAGCATACGTAAAATAATGGCAACAACGTACCATCGGCATTACCAGCAAGTCAAAAAATAAGTAATTTTTTAGGAGCTATTTGAAAAATACAAATTCTGAAAAATGCGAACTTGGTACATCTAAATATTATTGTCAAACTTTGATCGAGTTCGGAGATGGGGGATATCGGTCCACTCTTTCTGCTACATCCCCCATAAAAGGTCAATATTTTCACAGAAAATAATTTACCATGTAGAACTAGAAAGGATCATTCGATTTCGTGCAAATCCCAATATTTGTATCAGTGTTATGTCCGATGCGAAAATGGGCATTATCGGCCCACGCCGTCATCTTCATCCCCCACAAAGGGTCAAGGGTCAACTACAAAGGGTCAACTTTTATGAATGTGAAATACAGGGTGAGATGAAAAAATTGCAACCAACTTTAGACTGCTGTCATTTCTAAGCCACTCGTCCGACAGCTGTTAAAATTATTCCAGTGACAGCTCATTATATTGTTTACTAGCGTACAAAAGCATTTTGGTGAGAATTTTCCAGAAAAAAAAAAGTTATCCGTGAATTCAGGGGTGATAGTGTGATTTCTTTATATTTGGCTGGAAAACCACAAGTGGCTATCGTTAGAGCACTCCAGCATTTAAATGTGAATACATTTTTTGTGTCTCGTACCATCGCTTGTTACCGTGACTGATACTAGCAGCGTAGCCCGACGTCAAGGAAGTAGAGGGAAGAAAACAGCAACATCAGCAGAA